TCTGGAGACCAGAGGCTGAGCACCACAGGAACCAGGAGGTCTGGTCCCTGGGTAACTGTGGATGACTGGCCCCAGGTTTCTAGGCCGTGGTTTGCCCTTTGTGAAATGGGAGAATTAGATCAAGTGGCCTCCAGGACCCCGACCCCCCTTAGATGCTATAATAGTTAGGGGTGGGGCAGTGGTGAGGAAGGTCCAGAGAACTTCCTGCCCAAATCTTGAGGGTCCCTGTTCTAGCCTCCCCATCCTCTTCTTAAAGGGCCAGCATCCTGTTTCTCAGGTGACAGCATGCCTCATTTACCCTTTGCCATTTGGGGAAATCATCTCTTACTTTCCAGGCTAGTCTCCCCCAGCCCCCAGTCCTTCCCCCATCACAGTGCTGATCCCACTGTGCAATTTGACATGAACCTCAGTGAGAAGGGACCTTGCCCCCTGCTAGGACCCTCCCCATGTGACCAAGGGAACGTGCCTAACTAACTCCTCCCTCCCTCTTTTACATCTTACCTGGGGTACTCAGACCCCAGAATGCCCTGCCCAAATGGTCCTGTGCTCACCACTAAGGCCTAGGTGCTTCCTGAATGCAGACCATGCGGCCAGGGTGCGCCTCACCCCACTACCTCCAGCCTGACAAGTGGTCAAGGGCAGCTATTGACAGAGGGGTGAGGATCAAGCTTGGACATGCGGCACGGGGTCCCCAGGTGCAGGCACAAGGCTCCTTGCTATGCAGGAGAGAGTTGAAGATGGGAAGTCAAGGGGGCCAGGCTGAGAGCTGAGGTCTCCCTGAGCCCCGCATTCTAGTACAAGACTCCTAGGGATTCAAAATGTTTTCATTTGAACCTGGCCTTCTAAGTCATTCTGAAAGTACATTTGCCATGATAGGAGGAAAGAACATACTTTTTAAATCAGTTTTTTTTTTAATATTTTATTTATTTATTTGACAGAGAGAGAGATAGCGAGAGCAGGAACACAAGCAGGGAGAGTGGGAGAGGGAGAAGCAGGCTTCCCGCCAAGCAGGGAGCCCGATGCGGGGCTCAATCCCAGGACCCTGGGACCACGACCCGAGCCGAAGGCAGACGCTTAACGACTGAGCCACCCAGGTGCCCCTTAAATCAGTTTTTAATCGTAGTAACATACATATAAAATTTACCATTAGTGGCATTTAGTACATTCATGGTGTTGTGCGGCCATCCCCTCTGGTACCGTAATATCTCCATCACCCCGAAAGGAGACCCCATGCCCATTCACAATCTCTTCTGATTTCCCCTCCCCCAGCCCCTGGCAACCACCAGTCTGTCCCTGTAGATTTACCTACTCTGGACATTTCATATAAATGGAATCATATACTATGTGGCCTTTTGTATGTCTGATTTCTTTCACTCAGCACAATCCTTTTTTTTTATCCTTTTTTTTTAAAGATTCATTTATTTGAGAGAAAGCGAGAGAGAGAGAGAGAGAGACAGAGCGAGCGAGAGAGAGCGTGAGCATGAGCAGGGGGAGGGGCAGAGGCAGAGGGAGAAGCAGACTCCCCGCTGAGCAAAGGAGCCCGACACAGGGCTCAATCCCAGGACCCTGAGATCACGACCTTTGCTGAAGGCAGACACTCAACTGACTGAGCCACCCAGGTGCCCTAACTCAGGATAATGTTTTTAAGATCCAACCACAATGTAGTAGTGTGTGTCAGTGTTTCATTCTTTTTATGGCTGAATAATATTCCTTTTTTTTTTTTAAGATTTTATTTTTTTAGGTAATCTCTACACCCAACGTGGGGCTTGAACTCACAACCCTGAGATCAAGAGTTGCATGCTCCACCAACTGAGCCAGCCAGGGCCCCTGAATAATATTCCATTGTATGGATTTACCACATTTTATTTATCTATTCATGTGATGATTGACATTTGGGTTGTTTCTACCTTTTGGAGGAGAGAGTGTATTTTTTAAAAAGATCTATTTATTTATTTGAGAGAGAGCGTGCGCACACAAGGGGGAGGAGCAGAGGGAGAAGGAGAGAGAATCCCAAGCAGGCTCTGTGCTGAACACAGAGGCTGACATGGGGCTTGATCTCACAACTCTGAAATCATGACCTGAGCCAAAATCAAAAGTTGAAGGCTCAACTGACTGCACCACCCAGGTGCCCTGAGAATGTATTTTATTTAATTGTTTGTATTTATTTTATTGAATTTAATTGTTTGTAATTTATTTAATTTTACAACTGTTAAATATTTAGATGTATGGTATGTAGGCTTCCCTTTGTACTTTTGTCCTGTATTCTACTTCGAAGCAAGACTGTTCTATTTATAATTGTGTCTGTATCCCAAACTCAACTGCACCTTCCAAGTCTGATTTGTTTCTTTATTCCCAGCACTGGGGTAGGTGCCTCGTACATATCATTAAATAATTCTTAAGTGACTGTTATATATCAGGCACTGTTCTAGGCATGGGGTAGTTGGGTCTAGGTGTGACCAAACAGAAAATGCTGTAAGGCAGCTCACTTTTGGTGGTGGTGAGGAGAGAGATAATATACAAATAAAGGCAATTAGTGATAACTGCTCTATAGGGCGAGTTACAGCCAATAGCAGGGTTAGGGTTATGGAGAAGGGCTGTGTGTGATGCAGGCTGGGTGATCAGGGACTATTTGTCTAAAGAAGTGATATTTGAGTTGAGAACTGCATAGCAGAAGCCAGCCATGTGATGAGTCCTTCCAAGCAGGGAAAAAGGCAAGTAAGTGCAAAGGCCCTGAGGTAAGAGTGCACTTGGGGGGTTTGAGGGAAGCACAAAAGCTGGAATGGAGGAGTGAGAGAGGGAGTGTCAGAAGATGAGCTCTGAGAAGTGGGCAGGACCTTCTGGGTCAGAGGAGGGAATTTGGATTTTTCTTCTGAGTGTGGTGGGGAGCCATTGGAGGGACAGTGAAGTGGCCGGGATGAGGGTGGAGAGACGTGAACAAATTCAGAATATGTTTTGGGGGGCAGAGCCTGCAGATCCAATAGCAATCCAACATATGGATGGATTGGAGCAGGGCTGAGAGAGAGGTTGAGGTAGATTCCCAGGTTTGGGGCATGAAAAACAGAATGGATACATTGCCACACATAGTGGGGAGTAGAGCTGGGGGGATCCGAGAGTTCAGTTTTGAAAGTGTTCAGTTTGACATCTATTACACTGAAGAGTGTTGAAGATAAGTCCAAAACCCAGAGAAGTCAGAGGTAGCGATATAAATTTGAGAGACACCAACACAAAGATGGCATTTAAAGTATGAGGTTGGGGGACACCTGGGTGGCTCAGTCGGTAAGCATCCGCCTTCGGCTAAGGTCATGATCCCCGAGTCCTGGGATCGAGTCCTGCATGGGGATCCTCTCCCTGCTCAGCAAGGAGACTGCTTCTCCCTACTCAGGGAGAGTAGAAGGAGAGGGTGGGAAGGAGGGAAGTCACCAGGGTGGGCAGAGAACTGGGGGGAAGGAGTGACCAGATAGTTGGATTATTCCAGAGGCTGTTTAGCGCTCCCCCTTTCTCTAGGTAACTATATCTTTCCTCCCGGTCACCCCAGAATGGTGGAGTGGGGCCAGAGGGCAGATTTGGAGGGAGCCTGGGGGAAGAGTGGAAATTGTCTTTTAGGGGCGTCGGTCCTGCCGTTGAACGCCACGGTCTGGCGCCAGCTATGGGGAGCTGCTCCATACCGCAAGCCTGGATACCTCTCCGGGGCCTTTCCAGCCGCCTGGGCCCAAGGTGACCGTCTTTCAACCGCAGCTGCTCTGCTAAGCCCTGGGCGCGCTGTGTCCGTCCCTCCCTCCTCCCTCAGTCTGGAAGTGCACTTGGCCGCGGACGCCTCGCGGACTTTTCCGGGAGGGGTGAAGGGAAAGCAACCTCTGAGCTTGACGCGCGGGCAGTGGCACACCTCGCGGAAAAGGCCTCGCTGAGCCCAGAAACCCGGAGGGAGCCTGGGGCGCGCCAGGAGAGGGCTCCTGGCGCCCCCTCCAGTCTGAGCCGTACGCTGCAGGGGTGGAAAGTGGATGGACAGCCCCGAGGCCAGGGGCGTTGCGGCCCGCCGGCCTGGGCGGGGCTAGCAAGGTCCTGGAAAGATGGCTTTGGAGGACACCAACACCAGAGGGCCAGTGGTTCAAAGGCCCAGCCCGAGGCACAGTTGGGGTCAAGCCTCCTGGGAATGCCGGGGACGTAGGAGCGAAAAGGTGCCAGGGTGGCGCCCCGAGAGTTGAACGGCACCCAGACTTGTCTCCCAGCTGGCGGGCCGAGTCCAGGGAAAACCTCTTACAAGAAGTCTGGTGCCCCGAGCTGACCTGAGGCGCGTCAGAGCACGAAATGCGGTGCCCTGCCGAGGCCCCCCCTCCCCTCCCCGCCCCGAGGGCGGGGCCAGGGCGGGGCCGTAGTCTTCCCTGCAGGTGCAGGGGGAGGTGCCCGGCCCTGCCCCGGGGGGCTGTTCTTGGAGGCCAGGGGCGGGTCAGAGAAACGGCCGAGGTAGGCGACGCCTTGGAACCCGCCGGCGGTGACTGTGCCACAGGTGCGGCGCAGGGCACCGTGGTCTCAGCTCTGGGCATCAAAACTCCGGCTCTGGAAACTAAGTCTTCCGAGCTGCTCCCAGCCCTGGACACCGAGGCCCCCGGGCCAGAGAGCGGGGCCCCGAGACCCCCGGGTCAGCGAAGTCCCAGGGCCTGCCGCAGAGCAGGACGCTGAGGTCCCCAGGCCAGGAGGCAAGGTCTCCGTGCCCTCTGCAGAGCAGGGCGCGGAGACCCCTGAGCAAGAGAGCGAAGTCCTTGGGCCATCAGCGGGGCTAGACGCAGAACGCCCCGGGCCGTCTGCAGCTGGGGTTTTGAAAGTCTCCGGCCCGGCAACCACGACCCCAAGCCGTCTAAAGCGCGAAGCACGGGGTTCCCGAAGCAGTCTCCTCTTCAGGATCCCGAGACCTCCTCCTCGGGGTCAGATTCCGAAGGCCCCCTGCAGCATTTTCTACTGCGCCCGAAGACCGCCCCCCCCAGCAGGCCCCCGAGGAGCCGTTCATGGAGACGCCCATCGAACGAGAAATCCGCCGCAGCTGCGAACGCGAGGCGAGCCTGCGCCGGAGCCGAGGCCTGAGCCCTGGCGGTGCAGGCCGTGAACTCGTCGAGCTGCGCGTGCGGTCTGTGCTCAGCCTGCCCAGCCCGGGCCCCGCGCTCCCGCGCGCCTTGGAGCGCGCGCGGGCGGGCGCGCAGATGCAGCGAGACATCGAGCGGGAGGCCCACCGTCAGGCGGCGCTGGCGCGCCCCGCAGCCCCAGAGCTGTGCACCCGGCCGCCGCCGCCGCCGCTGGGCGAGCTCAAGCGATTCTTTGAGGCCGCGGGGGGACGCGGCTCCTCGTCGGCGGCTGAAGGCGGCGCGGACCCGCAGGGGCTGCCCGATCCTGGAGGCCGGCCGCGCTTGGCCGTGCAGGGTCGGTGCCCGGTGCTGGCCCGCGCACCGCCGCGGGTCGCGCCGTCGCTGCTGGAGCAGGAGGTGCGCGAGGTGCGTGAGCGCGAGCGGGAGCTGCAGCGCCAGCGGCTCAGCGTCTACGGCACCGCCGAGTTCAAGGAGCCCGCGCCGAGCCTCACGGGTAAGCCACGCGCGCCCTGACGCTGGGTCTGTCAGGGCTCCAGCCGCCCTCACCGACTGCCCAACTCCAGTGGCCTCTCTTCTGGCCCTCAGGTACCCCCTCAGGGCTCCCAGACTCCTGGGACACCCCCCCCAACTCTCCGTACCCTGCCCACCGCTTCAGGGCTGCCCACTCCCTGTGCTCCACCCCGAACTCGGAATGGTCGACTCCCAAATCCACCTCACCTAGGCTCTTGGTGAGAAAGGGAGGATTCTAGGTGTCTTTATCGGATTCCAGGGAACCCTGCTTGGGTTCTGGCACTCCTGGATCCTCCCTCTGAATTTACGAGTTTCCATCTCCCCACTCTGGGTTCGCCTCCCTCCTCCTTCAGGTTGCTCCCTCCTTCAGAATGGAGGCTTCCATGGGAAGCAGGGTAAACGCCTGTGTGTTTAAAGGGCGCGGCTGGCCTCCCTGGTCCTGGCCGCCTCCAGCTGGTGACAGGAGGGGCAACCCCGGCTGAGCACCCCTTCCCCCGCAGCGAGCAGGGGCGACGGAAAGCTGGCGGTGACCTGGCCTCCCCGCAGAAAGGCGTCTGAGAGCGGCTTGGAGCAGGTGGGAGCCCCTTTCCCCCTCTTGCCTCAAGCGCTAGTCGCTCGTCCCTCTCCCCTCCTCCTCGGGCGCCAGGGTGCTGGGCCAGGGAACGTGCACCCCCGCGTCCCCTGGGAAGTCACTCTGGGCTAGGACACAAAATTCTGGGCACGGCCCGGGGGTGACAAGGATGCGGTAGTCCCGGGGCCCAAACCGCCCCACCCTGTGCCTGGGTGTCGCTTCTGCGGTGCGCGGGTCCTTAAAGTCAGCCTTCCGTCTGGCCTCTTCTCCCCAGGAGGAGCGGAAGCCTTGAGGTTCCAGCAGGCTGGGACCCCCTGCCAGAGGTAAAATGCGTATCAGAGGAAACTGGTAGGGGTGTCCAGGAGTGCTCTCGGAATCCACTGAAGGCCTGGAAGAGGGCCAGCCGTCTGCGCTGGGGAAGATGAAATCGACCAGCTCCTCCTTGAACCTGACTGTGAAATTGACCAGTCTCTTCTATAAAACTGTTAGTCCCCACTGGGAAACACTACCACTCTCAAACCGCCAGTGAAACTGTTCAGCCCTTCTCCTAACTGCAAACCCAACTGGCCTCTCCCTCTGGCCTTTGCGATTAGAGGACCAGGGTCTCCGCCTCGGCTACCCTCACTCCCCAATAAAGCCCCTTCTTTCTGGGCAGTTCAGGCTGTTTTCCTCTGGGTGCCTTCGTCTGGGCTGGGGCGGGAGCGCGCCTGGCGGAGGAAGGCCTGAGAAAGCGGCAGGAGGCGCGGGCCGGAATACAGAACGTACCCCTTAGCGCACTGTTCTGGGGCTGCTGGTCTCTCCCGGCCCGGCCTGGGTCTTGGTGCCCCCTGGAGGCGCGGGCGCGAACTGCGGCGTTCGGACAAATGAGCTCACGCCCTTCCTTTTTCCAGACATCGTCAACATTTTATTGGTGCCAACTGCATGCCCGGAGCTGGGCGCTGGCTAGAAAGAGGTGATAAGAGGTTGTTCCTGCCCTGGGGACGTAAACAATAGCTACCAAAAGAGGGGTGGTGGTGAAGGGTACAAGCTTCTTAGCAGGGCATACAAGGCCATTTATAATCTGTGCAGCTATCGCAAACTTCACATGCCTTATAGACCCCAGACAGATATTAAAGAGAGAAATGGGGTGTGCTTTAAAATGCCTTGTTTCAACGGGCAGGTAAGTGCTCCTCCATATCAGCAGTACTACCAATGAGTGAACTCAGTGGCACCAGAGCTTCTGATTTCCAAAAGCACGGGGGTGAGGGGGAACCCAGCCTTTAAAAGAGAAATCTAGGGGACCCCGGGGGGTTCAGACAGTTAAGCGTCTTAGGTTCAGGTTATGATCTGCGGTCTGGGGATCGAGCCCCATGTCTGCCTTCCCACTAGACATGGGAGTCTGCATCTCCCCCTGCCCCTCCCCCTGCACACTCTCTCTCAAAATCTTTAAAAAAAATAAAAGAGAAATCTGAACTTTAAACGTGACTTTTGGGGCGCCTGGGTGGCTCAGTCTGTTAAGTGTCTGCCTTCGGCTCAGGTCATGATCCCAGGGTCCTGGGATGGAGCCCCACATTGGGCTCCCTGCTCAGCAGGGAGCCTGCTTCTCTCCCTCTGCTGCTCCCCCTGCTTGTGCTCTCTCTCTCAAATAAATAAATAAAATATTTTAAAAATGTGGCTATTTAGAAAACTTTAAATTGGGGGTGGGGCACAGGAGGTGCAACAAGCAGCACCTGTTTGCAGTAAAGCTCATAGCTGTCAATTGTCAAGCCCGCCTTAATTTCTCTCCCAAGCCGAGGTTCAAGCCCCCCTTTCATGGGGTTCAAGAGAGTCTGTGAACACCCTAAGTTGAATAAGTGTATCTATGCAGTTTTATTCTGTGGTTTTAGGGTACCAGCTTCTTGGGGCACTGAGACCCAGAAAAGACCCAGGAATGTTTTAGAATCATTGTTACAACGCTTGGATTTGTCCAACTCTTTATGCCCTGGGTCTAGCAACGGGCTTGATTCTCCATAGGGAGGACAAGTAGCTAATGAAGAATGAAATAATGCTCACACAGCATTGGACCCCAACAGAAGCTCAGTCCAAATACGAACCACCTGATCCTGGTATCAGCACACTGAGCGCATACTTGATGGTGACTCTGCAGAGAAAGCAAAGATCCAGCACTGTCAAGGTGAGAAATGGAAACAGCCAGAGCTGATTCTTAATTCCCAGCAGGGGAGCTAAGAACTAAGCCTGTAGAGTTGACAGAACTACTAAAGTGTGGACCTGGGTTCTCAACCTTTCCTGCAAATTAAAATCACCTGAGGCACCCTTATGTTGAGTAAATCAGAATCTGACCGGGAGCTTGGCCTCAGTATTTTTTTAAAGCTCTACAGGTGCTTCCCACATGGAGCTAAGTTTGAGAACCATCATGCAGGCAGATGTATGCTAGCAGTTCTCACAGTGTAGTGCTTGGACCAGCAGCCCAAGGATAGCTTGGGAACTCCTCACAAACGCATTCTTGGGCCCCATCCCAGACTTAAAAACCAGACCCTCCACATGATTCCATGCTAAAGTTGGAGAATCATGGTTATCGAGAGTTCACAAGCAACAGGATTCAGGAAATCAAGCCTGTTTCCTTCCTCTCCCAGTACTGCCACCATGCACCAGAAACCTTTGTTGTTTTTATTTTTAAAAAAGATTTTATTTATTTGACAGAGAGAGACAGCGAGAGAGGGAACACAAGCAGGGGGAGTGGGAGAGGGGGAAGCAGGCTTCCCGCAGAGCAGGGAGCCAGATGAGGGGCTGGATCCCAGGACCCCGGGATCATGACTTGAGCCAAAGGCAGATGCTTAATGACTGAGCCACCCAGGCGCCCCCAGAAACCTTTAGTTTTAAGTGGCCTGTGGATTTGCCTTAAGGGAGACTGTCTAAAGCTGTGGGGCTGGTCTGACCTGAGATGTGCTGTAAGTATGAAAGACATCAGATTTCAAAGACTACCCAAAAAGAACTATCTCAATAATTTCTTGCATTGATTATCTGTTGAAATATTTTTGATATGTTGGGTTAAGTAAAAATCACTGGGGCGCCTGGGTGGCTCAGATGGTTAAGCATCTGAGCCTTCTGCTCAGGTCATGATCCCAGGGTCCTGGGATTGAGCCCCACATCGGGCTCCTGGCTCAGCGGGGAGCCTGCTTCTCCTCCCTCTGCCTCGCTCCCTGCTCATGCTCTCTGTATCTGTGTGTCTCAAATGAATAAAATCTTAAAAAAAAAAATCACTAAAATTAACCTGATCTTATTTTTTACCTTACCTTTTTTAATGTGGTTACGAGGATGTTTGAAATTACGTATGTGGCTCGCATGTGTGGCTCAATTTAAACGTTTGGACCAAGCGAAAGAGTCTTACAGTGTGTGTCTGTGCGCGCGTGTGTAACTCACAGGGACTAACTTAAAACCGTATTGGGAAGCTTCAGAATCCCCTTGAACTCATTCAGACTAAACAATCTTGATGAAGTCAGAAATTGTACCCCCCCCGCCACTGCCCCCCAAAAGATCAAGGGTTTTGGTGTCCAATCCGGATGATTCATTTTACCTCTCACGTCCGTTTTTGTCATCTTAAACTGCGGCTTAGAATACTAATGTGCCAGGGAGTTTTAGGTAAGTTGGTGCTTTGCTCAAAAACGTAAAGGTTAGGTCTCTCCTCTGACTCCAAAAATGCTACAAGGAACGAAAAGGCATGCCTTAAAGAGGGTAACTCGCAGATGAGTGACTGCCGGGTCAGGAAGAACACCCTTCCTCACGCAAGGGACCAGCTGCAATCGGAAAGACCGGTTCAGGTTCGAGCTCCGCCACTTGCTCGCTGTAGCTTTGAATAGGTGAGTTTACCTCTCTCAACCCGGGTCTCCTTTCCAGTCCAAGGTCGGAGTTAAGGTTAGAGATTCCAAGCTCGAGTTCCTTACGGCTTTCCCACCCGGCGCGCCCCGGACACCCTGCGTAGTAACACGACCTACCCACTCCATGACCCAAAAGCTGGAAGAGGAAGATTTGACTCTGGCCTTTAGGAAACTGACCCCCGGCCCTTTCTGGGGCACGTCGGGAAATATAGTCTTTTCGGTAAAAAGAAGTCACTTCCGGGTCAAAATACGAGAGTGGGCGTGGCTCCGGGGGTCCCTTCCCCCATTGGGCGTTGAATTTCCCGGCTACCCAAAACTTGCGGTTTTTTGGGTTCCGGTTGTTGACAGGCAATGCTACTTCCCTTTTAGCTTCATGTGCGCCTCTGCGCATGCCTTGAGCGCTTGTCCACCAGTCGAGGGACTGGTTTTGTTTCAAAGACTACATTTCCCAGAAGGCCGCGCGAGTGGGCGGTGCTCCCTCGCCCCACGGGGTGGGGCGCGGCACTGCGAGCGGACGCTGAGCCTGTGACCTCTTTCTTTCTTTTATTTAACGCAAAACTGGTGTGTCCACGCGAAGGGCTCCGCGGCCGGGTCGGACCCGGTGCGCACTGGCCAGCTCGGCCTGACCCCTTGGAAGGCGAGGCCGAGGTGCACTGGGAGAACGAGTGAGCCCCTCCCCTGCTCCCTCTCCTGGAGTTCGGAACTGTCAAGCTCCAGCTCCCACCCTCTCTCCAGGCTCAAGACCCCTGCGCGGCCCACGCCGCGGGCCCGGCCGTGCTCGGGGGCCGGGCTGGGCCTGCCTGGCCCGTGAGGATCTGCACCAGCAGGTCGGTGGCCAGCATGTGCGAGGGCTCCTCAAAGCCGATGGTCAGCAGCTGCTGGTAGTCCCCAGGCGGCTGCGGGCACAAAATCCTGGGGGCCGGGACAGACAGGCCTGGACGTGAGCGCCCCCTGCTTCTCGGGAGCCCCTCCCCTCGAGTGAGAGGCTGTGGCTGAAAGAGGCTTTGTTTCAGCTGGGGGTGGGAAAAACCCTGGGGGTAAAGTGGTTTCCTTGTTGATGAGAAACCTAGAGGCTTTGGGAGGCTGAACAGCTCTAGCCCTGACCTGGCCTATCAGCCAGCTAGCTGTGTGTCCTTGGGCTGGTAACTTAACCTCTCTGAGCACCTGTTTTCTTCTTTGTAAAATGGGGCTTCAAGTATAGACCTCAATGGGTTGTTACACAAGTCTGCATAAAGCACTTTTCAGGGCACAATAAAATGCTATCCTTATTACCAAGGGAAACAATGTTGGGGGAGGTGGATGGTCTTTGGTGGGGTTCTGCCCCTCCCTCCAAGCCCCAAACCCACTTTGCCATCGCCCTAACTCCTACCATGAATAAAGGTCATCCTCGGCAGGTCCTAGCGGCACCCATCGGCCAATGGACCACAGCTTCTGGATC